TGGAAGAAACAATCTCTACTTATATATATATATATATAAATATATATATTTATTTTCGGGGGGGGGGGGCGGGGTAATTCATGTAAAAGCAACAAATTAAAAAGAAAATCTTTGCACTGTATTGGAATAAACAGCTTCAAATTCACTTTTTTTTAGAAAACATTGGTTCACAAAATTCTGATATAAAATTACTTCTTATAGAACCTGTCAACCCCTGAAGCACTCCTTAAACAACAACTGAGGTCCCTTTTTTCAAACATTTACAATGGTAGAGATTTCTTAATGAGAAATGATTTGGAGATTTTTGTAGCTAGAAGAGTTAAGTGGGGTTGAGGGTGGATCAACTGAAAAGTAATTATAGCTTAAGCACAATTGTCAATTATGCATGTTGGGAAACTTAAAGAGCAAAGATTGCCCAACTCAATACCATGTGGAGCTGCCGATAAGATCAGTTGGACACTTTATGTTGACTCTGTTGAATTTCTTCTAATATAAGGATGAATAAGTGGGTTTGAATTGCACCTCAATGTTGACCTACTTACTTTCAGTTAAGGCTCTTCGTTATCTCTAACAAGTTGGGTTGCCTTGACATCTTAATTCTTAGTTGGCAGTCTGACTAGCTTTTAAGCACATAGTATTTAAATAAAGATGGTTGTGAACTAAATTATCCAATTTGTATCAGAAAAGATGTTTAGTGATGCATAGCTGCCAAGGGCATCTTTTTGGATTTCAAATTGCTCATAGTACTTGCTTCACATGTGAACTGCCTACATTGTTTGATCTTATTATGAATGATGATAACTCTTACTTCGTCATTATTCTCAGTTGACATCTTTAATTCTTTCTACCAAACTTCTAACCTCACCTTTACTTCTCTTTGGCAGATACCTATTCCTGCTGGTCATGTGTATGCCATAAATGATGCATTATCAGCAGAGGCTGCGGCAGATGATTACGAGACTTGTCTAAGGCACTTAGTTAAGAGCAAGATTCTTGACATCTCTAAAGAGAGTGGATTTCCAAAATTTGATGTAATGCTATTGGGTATGGGTCCAGACGGACATGTAGCTTCCTTGTTTCCCGGGCATCCTCTTGTCCATGAGAAAGAGAAGTGGGTCACCTTCATCAAAGACTCTCCAAAACCTCCACCGAACAGGATTACATTTACATTCCATGTAATAAACTCATCTGCAAATATTGCACTTGCTATAGTAGGTGCTGGGAAGGCAGATGTAGTGCATAAATTGCTAGGTGATGATGATAAAAGTTCTGATTTGCTGCCTGTGCAGATGGTTTCACCCGAAGGAGAATTAGTTTGTTTTTTAGATAAGGATGCAGCTTCGAAGCTGTAAGGATGAAGATGTGTGGGTTGCGTATTAGTGCTTCACACCTGTGTGTATTTTATTATTCTAATACATTCTGAAGAAGGGGGTTGTTTTTCCCAGTATTGTCTGTAAAATGTTGAGGATTCATATGCCATGATCCACTTTTTGGCTCACATGTTTTTGTAAGGATCCTTGACTATCAGGAACTCGGTTATTCTCCTATTATATTTTATCTACAAGTTAGGCATGTGTACAGATTGTTTGAATCAGTAACAGGGTGTGATATGCCAAGTGCAAAGCAAAGCTTATTTGATCATAAAGTTTCGTAGGTGCTGCCCTTCTTTGTCAGCAATAACACAAGTGATAGCTATACATAGATTGTTACTTCGGTATATTACTATTGTTCAATTTACATACATTCAGCACTTGGATCGTGCCAGACATCCAGTTTGGATTAATTCAAGTAAGCCTTTCAGGTGGAAAATACCATTACATTAACTGTAATACTCTCGTTTGGTAGAGTGTATTAAAAAAAATAATGCATGCATTAGCCTTGTGTATTAATAGTGCCTTGTTTGGTGCTCTTTTCCAACCTATGTATAACTGATACACCCTATTGTGTATTAAGGTGTGTATTGTTAATACCATGGATTTCTAGGTATTAGCAATGCAATGGTTTTAATGCAAGCATTAACTCAATTAAAGACCCAATTGCCCCTCAATACCTTTTTTGTATCTTTTCCACCATATTAGTAAAGGGTATCTTTGTAAATTATTATTTTTAATGCATCAAACCAAACAGTGCGTAAAAATAATCTATGTATAACTAATGCAAGCATTACTAATACACTCAATATTATTTTTATACACTCTTCCAAACGATAAGCTTCCTAGCAGCTCTAATACTATGTAAGTAAACAACTCAATGACTATCTTGTCTTCTAATACTACAATACAATCATAGTATTTATCAACCATTAAAGTTCAGTGAGCTTTTCCTCTCTTTATGCGCTTGGATCACAGCCTTGAGTTTATGTAAGTCAAATAGCTTGAAGAACCATTCTTAAGTCGCTTTCTAGCTACTAGCCTTCTTACTCAACGAAGACTTTATTTTCTTTTTGGGACCAAGAACTCTAAATTGCAGTCAGAAAGTATCACCAAAGAGTAGCTGAAAATGGAAGCAAACAGTGCTGAAATAGAAAGCTAGTATTCGGAGAACGAAAGAGGAACAAACAAAAAGTTTGAGGAGTCTGTCAGACAGCCATGAGGCCATCTGGTCAATGGCCATGCTTCATCAACCATACTTGATTTCCTGTCTCCTTAGAAATCAAGGATACAGTGGTACCAGATCCTGTTCAAGTAGGGTCGTGTCCTTAAACCGTAGTTGTTCACTTAATAAACAACAGATAAATATGTTGCAACATTGATGTGGGACGAGTCATACGCCTAACTAGTTATATTTCCCTCTCTGCAAATTGATAAAATGGAATAACGAAAAAAGAAATCAACTTTGGGATTTTGATTCACGTTTAAAGGAAAAGAAAAAGGTACTTGATCAAATTAAAAACTCTGCCTCCATGAGGAAAGTGCGTATTTTGTCTTTGACTCAACCTCAAAAGCTAGTTGATAGAAGTGAACACATGTCAACTACTGTGGAACAACAACAATTCAAGTAAGGTCGTGTCCTTAAATCGTAGTTGTTCACTTAATAAACAACAGATAAATATGTTGCAACATTGATGTGGGACGAGTCATACGCCTAACTAGTTATATTTCCCTCTCTGCAAATTGATAAAATGGAATAACGAAAAAAGAAATCAACTTTGGGATTTTGATTCACGTTTAAAGGAAAAGAAAAAGGTACTTGATCAAATTAAAAACTCTGCCTCCATGAGGAAAGTGCGTATTTTGTCTTTGACTCAACCTCAAAAGCTAGTTGATAAAAGTGAACACATGTCAACTATTGTGGAACAACAACAATCCTGCATGTCTAGAGTTGGATATCTGGAGCGTGACCATATAACATGGAGGATCGAGATTCGGTAAGTTAGAAGTGAGGTTAAGCTTGGTTGATATGAAGAAAGATTTATGAACATTTGGAGCATGAACAATAATATGGAGATTAACCTTAGATAAACCAAGAACAAAGAAGAGTCTAGTTCTGATATCATGTGAATAAAGGGGGTGTTTAACTCTGAAAAACACGTTTGACTATAAAATTTTGAAAAATTCAGAATTTTGGAATATTCAGGTTTTTGAAAAACATCAAAAAATTGTTCACTCTAAATTACTCACATTTTTTTTTAAAAAAAGCTCCAATTTGTTTGATAAATAACAGATTACTTCAACTAGTATGGGTTTAATAGGATAGTATGTCGTATAGATGTTTGGAGAAAGAATATACTAACAGGTTTTAAGAAATGAATTAGTTTTAAATCACTTTACCAGTTAAAAATCGAGGAAGCCGACCAAAAGTATTACAATACAAGAATGATTTCTTTGGTGGAATCTTTTTGAATTGGTTCAGAAGCATCAAATGCCTTTAAACTTTATAAACTTTTTGGAGAATTTGTTCGTTTTTCAGGGATAATGGATGTAACAAAAGTAAGTTTATTAGATAATACGCGAGCTTTGAAAATTTGAAAAAGAATTGTATTGGTATACGGTATTTGCTCCTTTATCAATCATATCCGGGGAGAGAGATAAACTAATGTGCCAACGAAGGGTATAAACATGTTGAAGATCTAATAATTTGGGGAAATGCGCTCAAGAATATAGAGTTCATTGTCTAAACAGATTTAAGATGCGTTGCTTTTTGAAAGATTGTAACTTTTTTTTATAAAAAAAAACAATAGTTTTGGTTCTGCTATATATTATTTAGATAGAATGAAAATGATTCATTTTTATTTTAGGTTTCTCAAGTATACACTATTTTACAAATAATATTACTATGGAAGCATTTTTAACTACTAAAATTTGAACTAGTTAATAGTGATATTGGGTCTGAATTGTAAGTGCTATCAGGTTCAAAATCTGACATTTTAATGGGGACATTTTAACAGTATGACACTGACAATAATATAAAATCATCTTTTAGTAATATACTTTAATTAAATTACGATAGTTTCTAAATTTATTGATTAATATAATAGAGGTACATATTCCTCAGTGAAAAAGTCACCACGATGAAATAATGGCGTCACAATGTGTTAAATATGACTCCACTATGTTGATGTTGCATTTACATCCAAGGGAATCCCTAAGTTAGAGAAAATAACAAAAGTTATTCTTTATACTTGATGACACGTTTAAAATATTTCTTGAGTAGGCCCCAAATAATTTGATCCTTTAAGCTAATTTATCAGAAGTTATTATTTTTAATCTCCATCAATATTTACGAAAGAAAAGAAATTTAGGAGAAATTGACATTTGGATCGGAGGTATAATTTTTTAAGGTATAATTTCTTTTTATGATTGTATATCTTGGGATATGATAGAACTTTCTTAGTATTTCAGGTGAATTTTTTTTTCTTTTCTTATATTCTCGCCGAATCTAAACTATAAATTCGATAAATATTTAATGCTGATTAAAAATATTAAATTTTAAAACTCATTTATGTATTTTTCTGCCCTAAAATAGGAAGCAACCCGACCCGTAAGATGAAATCACTGTAAATTGCACAGATATAGTGTAAGCCCACAGCAGAGGGCAGCGAAAACTGGAGAGAGAAAGCAATTGTTGGACGCAAACCCTCAAATCTTCCGGAAAGATTAGATTAGAGGAGCGAGGTGAGTAGGGCATACTGCATACACACTTTCTCTCTCCTTCCTTCTCTCTCCTCTATATAAATTTTCTTCTTCAAATCGGGTCTATATACAAAAGTGCAGATAAACCTAACCTATAATCGATTCGTTACGGTATTCAGGTACATTTGTTCAAGATCTGATCTGTTTTTGTTACTAAGTATCTGTTTTCCGGATTTCGATTGGTTGATTCCTGCTTTAATTGATTTAGTTATGTAAATGTTTGTGTTTAGATGGAGCATATTGATTTTTATTTCTCGTTTCTGAGTAGATTGCATATTGATTAAGTTTTGGTATTGTTTATAGGTTGTGTTGTTTTTTTTATCTCTATACTATGCATTTATTTACCTAACATATTCTAAAACTCTCTCAAGGTAATGTGAAGTTAGCAAAAAGGCTTGTTATGGATAACATTACCTGAGAGTGTTACTTAATAGTTGGAATCGGAAAATTGGTCACTTTTCTTGTTTGGATGTTTTTAAATAGGACCTTCTGGCTTGTTTTTCTATGTATTGCAATGGTTAATCTGTTTGAAAATATCTTATTAGTTCTCTTTAATTGAAAAGAGGATAAATGGGAATCCTGTTCGAAAGGGCGAGTTTGGGACATAAGTACTTGTTTGAAGTGATGATGATGCTATTAACTGTTACAATTGAGCTATTATGTTCTATTGTTCTGTTCAGTTTGTTGTGGATATCTTGTATAAATTGTTAATAACATAGTTAGAGGATGAAGATCCCTGAACACAATTTGGAGATATTCTCCTAGTTTTGAATGACCTTGCTGCTCATATTTGAGTTTTGATCAGGCACAATTACTGTTGTTTTCATATTTTTGGGTTGCAAAGTGCCAAAGTTGGGATATTGAGAGAGATTTTGATATTTAATGTTCTTTTACAAGTTAAACAACCTAGGCTATCTAGCTGATTATGTTGCTCATCTTTTATACTTCCTCCATCCCAATTTATGTGGCACATTTTGGGTTTGAAAGTCAAACAAGTTTTTTTTTTGACTAAATATTTTTCAAATGGCTTGCAAATTTTTTAAATTGTCAATTACCGTGACTTATAATACATTTTACATAGTTTCAAATTTGTAAATTTTATTCCAATAAAAAATCAAGATTTAATTTTTGCATTCACGGTTAAAATTAAAAAAATTGATTCTCAAAATCCACAGGCTGCCACAAAATTGGGACAAAGGGAGTACATAATTTAAACTTAGCTCTCTCAGATGGTAGAGGGTATGGTTAGTAGCTCTCTCAGTTAGAAGAGGGTATGGTTATAAAATTGTTGTCGTTGGCTTGATGAAAAATTTGAAATGTTTTTGCGGGGTGGGGGATTTGGTATCACCCTGCTCCTATGTTAAAGGATGTGGTTCAAATGTAAAAGAATCGTATTTAATATCTATAAAATATCCTGATAATAAAAAGGTATATAAGATTTTAAAACTATATATTAAAACGCTCAATTTGCTTACAATTTGCATTGACATATGTTCATTAAGATAGGGTGGCAACACTGTTCTCTCTCCAATTTTGTGTTAAAAAGGGACTTTTTTACTAGGCATTCAAGGGTCTAACCTAGTGATTTATAAAGTGGGTGAAACTCTTAGAGATCATGATTCAGTTTTCAGTAGAGAGCTTATGTTCTATTAGATAGAGTTTCCCGGTACTTTATTGGTGGAAGGTAGTAGGTATTTGTTGGAATAATCGAGGTGTACACAAGTTGGCCTAAACACTGTCTTTATAAATAAAAATTATTTGGTCAGTAATTTTTGCCAATACTTCAAATGATGACGATTCTTCCAGCGGCACGACAGAGAGTATGTCAATCATCTCACCGAATGGGAGATTCACACGCTTCATTACAGGATGGGACAAGGGTGGTCTCCTAGGATGTGGATCTTTTGGATCCGTCTATGAAGGAATTTCACAGTAAGCCCAATGCTATGACTCTTCTTCATTATTTTTTTTTGCTTTCCAATTTTTAGCATGATTTTCTAGAAACAAACACCCCTTTATTATGGGGTTCTTTATATGGTGGATCAAATTTTTCGTTTACAGCTACTTTTCTCGGCTGTGATTTTGGTGCAAAATCTCATTATCTCAAAATTAATAGACCAGGAAACAGATTTCTCATAGCCTCGGTTTATATTGAAGGCAAGCACATCTGTCTGTTCGAAAGTGGAACTACTAAATAGAGCTTCAAGGAATGAAGGCTTATGTAGTATTTGATGTATCAAGATAATACAAGATGTTATTTGTGATTCTAAATCTTAAGGAAGTAATATATTTCTGAGGATTTGGTAATGGAAGCTGTTATCTAATTATCATTAATCAATTTAAGGTATAAGAAACTTTATATTTCAAAAAGATATTCCATTGTTAAGAAAATAGTTACTTGACGTTCAGTGCTGAATATGTATTGTATGAATATACAGTGTAATTTAAGGTTGGCTACAGTTACCCTCCTCAAGTTCGAAACCCCTTGACAGCGAAAGCAAGGGGTTTGCCTTCTGGGTCGAGCTCGTCGCACCGGGCTTGCCTAGTGTGGGTTACCTCTCTTATGTGGTTTGCGAGCTATTGCATAGGAGCGGGGTTTTACCCTATGATCACCCAAAGGGTAGCGGCTTCGGGTTTTTCTTGTTATAAAAAAAAAGAAGAAGATTGGCTACAGTTAGGAGAGGACACTGTTAGATAAAGGGAAGTATATTTGTGAATTTTTACTATCTTGATGAGATTCAAGATACATAATAATTTGGTTAATCTGACCATAGCAGAGAACTTAATGGTTAATAAGAAAATTTGTCTTTTTTCTCTTCTGCAATAATGATTTATTGATGAGTCCAACTAGTTGGATTTTCTTGATAGATTAGTGTAAGCTTTTATTGATAGGAAGGTAGCCCTACGAAAGTGCTACAGAAGCATTACAGATTGTGCAAAGCACTGAGCATGTCTGAATGATAATGTTTACATCATTTACAAAAGTCAGGCTGCGTGAAGAAGATATTGGTTTGATCGCCCAGCACACAAAGGAAACAAAAGATTGATATGTACTTCATAAAATTATAGTTTTTCTGGCTTCAATCTCAGCAAAGACAAAAACTCTAGGTGGTTTCTTCCCATCTGTCCCAGTGGATACCTGTTGCCGGTGGAAGGTGACATGTATCCGGTGGAACTAGTCAAGGTGCACGTAAGCTGACCCGGACACCACAATTATCAATTTTTTTAATAAAAATTATAGTTTTCTGGCATACTCAGTGTGAACCTTCTCTCTTATTTCCACCAATTTAAAGGTCTTTCTAATGTGTTTATATTTTAGAATTTTATGGCTTGTTTAACCTTTCCTGCTTTCACAGTTTCTATTGGAAAGTAACCTTCTGTGTTCACATTGCTGCAGTGATGGTTTCTTTTTTGCCGTGAAGGAAGTGTCATTACTTGATCAAGGTGATGGGGGAAGGGAAAGTCTATACCAACTTGAGCAGGTTTGTACAATATTTTTGTTGGTGCTGGAGTTTATCCAAAAACTACTTATTTGTGCTGGAATTTGGAGACACACCTCCAGTAAAAAGTTAATAGAAGTGGAACAAAGAAGAGGTATTTGGACTAGAAATGGACCATCCTTTTATAAGATCTATGAAATAAGTTTGAATGATGAAGGAAGCTACTATTATGAGCATATGAAATTGTCATTATATTTCTAGATTCTCATGCTTTCTCCTTTGTGCTTCTTGGTGGCCTATGTTCTACCTTTGTGGAATTTTCACTGATTTGCGTATGTTTCTTTTTAATTTGGCTTTTTAGGAGATTGAAGTTCTTAGACAGTTCGAACACGAGAACATAGTCCAATATTATGGAACTGACAAGGTAATGCCTTCTCAATTTTGTGCTTCTGCTTGCTTCCTTAAATGGCTCCCCTCTGAAGAACTGTTCTAATTATTTCCCTGTGAATGATTACTTTTTTATATAAAAGCCTTTAGTCTGAAGAGTGCACATTTTATCCGTACATGTTGATCCTATATGCAGAAATGCTTACCTTGCTAAATTTCTTTGATCTGTATGTCTCATCCTCCACTTTTGGCAGTTTAAATGTGAAATACTGTCTTAGGTTTCAGTTTGTTGTTTATTTTCTGTCTTGTGTCTTTCCTTTCAAAATTCACTTCGGTTGTCACGTTTTTCAGTACCATGACTAAATTGGATAAAGCACACAAAGGAAACAAAAGATTGATATGTACTTCATAAAATTATAGTTTTTCTGGCTTCAATCTCAGCAAAGACAAAAACTCTAGGTGGTTTCTTCCCATCTGTCCCAGTGGATACCTGTTGCCGGTGGAAGGTGACATGTATCCGGTGGAACTAGTCAAGGTGCACGTAAGCTGACCCGGACACCACAATTATCAATTTTTTTAATAAAAATTATAGTTTTCTGGCATACTCAGTGTGAACCTTCTCTCTTATTTCCACCAATTTAAAGGTCTTTCTAATGTGTTTATATTTTAGAATTTTATGGCTTGTTTAACCTTTCCTGCTTTCACAGTTTCTATTGGAAAGTAACCTTCTGTGTTCACATTGCTGCAGTGATGGTTTCTTTTTTGCCGTGAAGGAAGTGTCATTACTTGATCAAGGTGATGGGGGAAGGGAAAGTCTATACCAACTTGAGCAGGTTTGTACAATATTTTTGTTGGTGCTGGAGTTTATCCAAAAACTACTTATTTGTGCTGGAATTTGGAGACACACCTCCAGTAAAAAGTTAATAGAAGTGGAACAAAGAAGAGGTATTTGGACTAGAAATGGACCATCCTTTTATAAGATCTATGAAATAAGTTTGAATGATGAAGGAAGCTACTATTATGAGCATATGAAATTGTCATTATATTTCTAGATTCTCATGCTTTCTCCTTTGTGCTTCTTGGTGGCCTATGTTCTACCTTTGTGGAATTTTCACTGATTTGCGTATGTTTCTTTTTAATTTGGCTTTTTAGGAGATTGAAGTTCTTAGACAGTTCGAACACGAGAACATAGTCCAATATTATGGAACTGACAAGGTAATGCCTTCTCAATTTTGTGCTTCTGCTTGCTTTAAATGGCTCCCCTCTGAAGAACTGTTCTAATTATTTCCCTGTGAATGATTACTTTTTTATATAAAAGCCTTTAGTCTGAAGAGTGCACATTTTATCCGTACATGTTGATCCTATATGCAGAAATGCTTACCTTGCTAAATTTCTTTGATCTGTATGTCTCATCCTCCACTTTTGGCAGTTTAAATGTGAAATACTGTCTTAGGTTTCAGTTTGTTGTTTATTTTCTGTCTTGTGTCTTTCCTTTCAAAATTCACTTCGGTTGTCACGTTTTTCAGTACCATGACTAAATTGGATAATAGGTCTTAACACTTCGATCTCCTTTGCATTGTCTAGCAATCTTCTCTCTGTAGTTGATCTTTTTCTTCACTCCTGGTTAAATTTTTTGCAGAATGATTCGAAATTGTACATCTTTCTTGAGCTGGTTACACAAGGATCTCTGTTGAATCTTTACCAGAAATGTCACCTTCGAGATTCGCAAGTATCTGCCTACACAAGACAGATTTTACATGGTTTGAAGTATTTGCATGACCGGAATATGGTTCACAGGTGACAAATCAGAGCAACAAATTCTTGCTCTCTATACTGCCCCTTCTTTTTATCTGTATTAGATCTCTTTTACCAATTTTAATTATTTGTTTCCCATGTCTTATGTCTATTATTGTGATACACTGGATACTGAACTAACTTAGGAGTTAAGCCTACTGTCTCTTTTGAAGAAGGGTGTAAGTTGTTTGCGGATGGTTGCAAGTTAATGAGATTTAAGTGAATCTTTTGAATTCAGTATGCCTATTTATTTAATTGACCGTGGTCGATCACTTTTCTCATCTGCTTTCAAAGACTCTAGAATATCTTTATGAACTTTTTATTTATTTATTGTGGTACTGCATGTCTTTATACACTGTTTTCTCATCTGGTTTGTTGTTTAAGTTTAGGAAGATGAGAAATTGTAAGGTTAAATGATCTAGAAACTTGAGCATACTCATGCTAGCATGTGATTAATTTGTACTTGTAAAGAAAAGGCTCCTGAATTGTGATTTGTGAAGGATTGCTGAGAAGGTGGCCCTTTAAACAATTTTTACGAGTCAATTATCTATATGAAAAATTATTTATTAAAAGAAGGATTTACATGAAAATTGTTTTCCTTTAGTTTTTATGTTTGTTCGTATCTTGATTGCAGTTGAAAGTGGTGGGTCCCAAATCTTTGAAAATGCCTGCACAATAACTTAGGATATTGATTTTCTTTATTTTATTTTCTTGTAGAGATATTAAATGCGCTAATATATTGGTGCATGCTAATGGATCAGTCAAGCTTGCTGATTTTGGCCTTGCAAAGGTTGTCATTTCATCGCATTCTTGTCCTTTATTTTTTCTTTCTCATTTTGATGCTTTTATTGTCTTCCAAACTTCCTGGAGTTTTAATCTTTTTTGTATGTCACAATTTCTGATAAGTGGATTCATTCGACATGCATCCAGGCTACTAAGTTGAATGTTGTCAAGTCTTTCAAGGGTACTGCACTCTGGATGGCTCCTGAGGTAAGCTTTGATTTGTCTTTTGATGATTAAAAGGAAATCGGCTAATCTAAATATATATGTAATATTGCAAATCTTTATAGGGGACTGCTTTGGTGTGATAAAGAACATCAATGTTGGTGCATTTTGCAACGTAATATAACAGAAATCAAATTTTAAGTGTGTTAAATTTAGCTTCCGAGTACATTAATGAGTTTGGGGTTCTTTCATTCCTGTTTCTTAGCAATCATCAATTAGCATCAAGAAATGGATATAATACTCTTTTGGGAAAACATGTACTTGCCGCATGCAACAGGAGTCTCGTGTTCTCATACTTGCTTCTTAGCAATTACCATTCAGCTTTGAGAAACAGGATTTAGTAATCTTTGAAAGAACCCGCAATTGGCACGCACACTAAGAGTCTTGTGGTCTTAGCTTATAGTGTTAATTTTTTCACATGGTGAACTGTTTAAATATGAATTTGAGTTGTTGCTCTAGTTATTATTATCCTTTTGAGTGAACTAGTGCTTGTAGGCAGATATTGAAAATAGCTACTCGACAAGGTTTCTCAGTCACCCAATGTGTAATGATTTGTGTGTCAAGCTGCTAGCCAGAGAAACTTGTTTGGTTTGTTTCTTGCAGTTTCAAAAGCTCAAAACCAAGTTATTGATAGCAGCTTCTAGCGTATGCCTCATGGGTGATGGGCCAAACCTATGATCTCATATCTAGTGTGAGGAAAATTGTTTCCTCCTTTGTTAAAGATTGAGCCTGTATGTCAAGCTCAATTTGAAAATAGGTGATGCAGATTTTTAGTGGTGTGTGGATGTGTGATAGAGGTGGTTCACATTGCATATGTAGATCTTAGGTTTGCCTGACTTGTTAATTTTCTGTCAGCTTGCTTAATTTACCTTCTTATCAATGTATTGGCCTATATCTAAATATTAGATGTGACATTTCATTGGTCTTCTCCTCCTGAATCCAAAAATTTAAGCCCAAATAGTTTTGTAGTAGCTCGAGTTCTCTATTCTTTACAACTTCTACAAGCAAATCTAAATAACTTGTCTATTTATTCTGAGTTTGAGGTTGCAGAATGAATTCTTCAGTGTTCTTTTTGGGTTCATGTGTATCCAAAAAGGAAGTCATAGGAGTATTTCTAGATGAAACAATGCACTTATATCACTAATTAGTAATACATATGGTAGAAAATCTAATATCTATAGATAGTTCAAGTTTGTATGAGTGAACCACTGCAAAATTTTGTTTACCATGTAGTTTTATTGTGGGTTGTTAACACATCCACTTATTTATTTCATTTTTTAAAATTTGAATCCCATCTTCTATGTAGGTTGTGAACAGGGAGAACCCAGGTTATGGACTTGCAGCTGATAAATGGGGCCTTGGCTGCACTGTCCTAGAGATGCTTACTCGCCAGTTTCCTTACTCCCACTTAGATAATGTATGTTACCACAAACTTCATATTCTTTTTCCTTCCTTGAATATTGATTGGTCAGACATGCTCATCAATGGCTTTGAACTCATAACCTCCTAATCCTCCTGAAATAGCTTGTTGTGGTACTTGTTATTGGTAAAATCTAGACAACTGTTATTGCTGAAATGGTATTCATTTTGCCACATGAGGCTGAGGGTCTAATACACTATCCCTTAATCTGGTGGGCTAATTCATGCTAAATATTACTTATTACTTATTATTTTTGAAATTTGATACCTGGTTATTCACTTTGATTGGATGATGTGCACAAGGCCTATTCCAGAAATGATGATTGGAATGATCTGTTGAAACATATAGAGTATAAATCAATACTTAATTAAGCTGTCTAAACCAAATTGTATTTGTACCTAAATGAAATGGCTATTGAATTGTGGAATTACGCATGCCTTCGACCTACTATTTACTTTGGTCTTCTCTTTTTCCAGTTATTGTAAGGAGGATAATTTTTTGGAGGTGTGCACCATTAGCTGTAGATGTTTGGGATCTATGTTCTCACATGAAATGTGTTTGTTTATGTTACTGTGCTATGTTAAGTGATCTTTAGCAAGTTATATTTGATTAGTGGAAGACCACTGTTTAAGGTGTGTGTGTGTGTGTGTGGATTTTCGAACGAGGAATAAGAGTCTGTAAGTTGGAAGTTACCTCATAATACATGAGCAATAACTGTTCTCCTGTCAAATGCTATATTAGTTTATGAGGTTTCCTTTCGTTATATTTCTTATTATGGTCAACTTAGAAAATGTTATCCTTGTGCAACTGTCTTTAACGTGTTTATATAAAAATGAAAAAAGAGGGAGTTGGGTGGGGGGATAAGAAAGATTTCTTTGATTGAACACCTTCTTTGTGGAGATGCTGATGTGTGCAAATTCACTATTTTTGAAGAGTGATCATGTATATTTTGTAGAACAGCCAATGCAGGTACTGTTTCATATTGGGAAGGGGGTACCTCCAGCTGTGCCTAATACCCTTTCAGAAGATGCACGCAATTTCATTAATCACTGTCTGCAAGTGGATCCAAGTGCCCGTCCAACTGCTACTCAGCTCTTGGAGCATCCGTTTGTGAAACAAACGCTTCCCTCTTCCTCGGGGTCAGCTTCACCTCTCAATCTAGGCAGGAGGCTTTGAAATCTTGTTGTACGTTCCAATGGTTACTTTGTCATCTATTTTTACTTATGATAGTCACTTGATCAGCTGTAGTGTTAGAATTTCAAAATGCTACCTGTGCACCTTGATTCCTGCCATTGTTTCAGTTGAGATAGCAAAAAATTCTGCCATCTAATTATTGATATCTGTTTTAGTTATAAATTCACACAATCAGTTGAAGAGAATTTACTTATGTTTTGTGTCACTTGAACAATTACAACAACAACTATGCCTCAATCCCAAATAAGTTGGGATCTTGGTCAAATCTGTCACTATCTTTAGGATAGCCTTTCCTTCATCACTCCTAGTGCCATAAACATATCCCCCTTGTTCTATTGGTTAAAACCATCACCTGGTCATGATACCATGTGAACAAAATCAGGGGGGCGTTTAACTTTGAAAAACACGTTTGACTATAAAATTTTGAAAAATTCAGAATTTTGGAATTTTCAGGTTTTTTTTTTTCAAACATCAAAAAGTTAACAATTTTAAAAAAGGCTCCAATTTGTATGACAAATAACAGATTTCTTCAACTAGTATGGGTATGTTGTATAGATGTTTGAAGAAAGAATGTAACTGGTTCTAAGAAATGAATTAGTTCTAAATCACATTACCAGTTAAAAGAAAGACGTCCAAAAGTATAACAGGTACAGAAGCATCAAATGCCTATAAACTTTATAAACTCTTTGGAGAATTTGTTCCTTTTTCTGGGATAATGGACTTACAAATGTAAGTTTGTTATATAATACGCGTGCTTTGAAAATTTGAAAAAGAACTGTTTTGATATACGATACTTTTATCAATCATATCTGGAGAGAGACAAACTAATGTGTCAATTTTCCTACAAATGAAGGGTATAAACATGTTGAAGATCTAATAATTTGGGAAATGCGCTCAAGAATATAGAGTTCATTGTCCAAACAGATTTAAGATGAGTTGCTTTTTGAAAGATTGTAACTTCTTTTTTCGAAAAAAACAATAATTTTAGTTATGCTATTATTATTTAGATAGAATGGAAATGATTCATTTTTATTTTAGGTTTATCAAGTATACACTATTTTAAAAATAATATTACTATTGAAGCATTATAAACTACTAAAATTTGAACTAGTTAATAGTGATATTGAGTTTGAATTGTAAGTGCTATCAGGTTCAAAATGTGAAATTTTAACAGTATGAAATTGATAATAATATAAAATCATCGTTTAATAAATATACTTTGATTAAATTACTATAATTTCCAAATTATTGATTAATATAATAGAGTTACACATTTCTTGATGAAAAAGTCACCACGATGAAATAATGGTGTCACAATTTGTTAAATATGACTCCACCATGTTGATGTTGTTGCATTTACATCCAAGAAAATCCCTAAATAGAGGAAATAACTGAAATAATTCTTTACATTTAATGACAGACTTAAAATAGTTTTTCGAGTATGTACCAACTAATTTGATCCTTCAAGTTAAATTTATCAAAAGTTAATATTTTTAATTTCTATCAATATTTACTGAATCCCATGGGTTAGATACTTAGATTTGAAAAAAAAGAAAATTAGGAGAGTCCCACGTTTGAAGCCTTGCTGGTATAATTCTTATAGTTACTATTTTTGTTTTATTTCTAAAGTTTGGTATGGTTTTTTAACTTTTTATCTTATATTAGTGTGTAGTATAATTTTTTTTGTGATTGTATATTTTAGAATATAATAGAACTATCTTAGTATTTCAGGTGGAATTTTTTTTTCCCTTTTATTCTCGTCAAATCTAACATATAAATTCGATAAATAATTAATGTTAATTAAAAAGGAGTAAATTTTAAAACTCATTTATGTATTTTTCTGCCCTAAAACAGGAAGCAACCCGACCTGTAAAATGAAATCACTGTAAATTGCACAGATATAGAGGAGCGAGGAGAGTAAGGCATTTCACACTTTCTCTCTCCTCTATACAATTTTTCTTCTTCTTCCAAGTGCTGATAAACCTAACCTATAATCGATTCGTTACGGTATTCAGGTACATTTCTTCAAGATCTGATCTGTTTTTGTTACTAAGTATCTGTTTTCCGGATTTCGATTGGTTGATTCCTGCTTTAATTGATTAGTTATGTAAATATTTGTGTTTAAATGGAGCATATTGATTTTTATTTCTCGTTGCTGAGTAGATTGTATATTGATTAAGTTTTGGTAGTGTTTATAGGTTGGGTTGTTTTCATTTATATATCATGCATTTATTTAGATAACATTTTGTAAAACTCTCTCAAGGCAATGCGAAGTTAGCAAAGAGACTTGTTATGGAAAACCTTACCTAAGAGTTTCACTTAATAGTTGGATTTGGAAGATGTGTCCATTTTCGTGTTTGGAAGTTTATTAAAAAGACCTTCTGGCTAGTTTATCTATGGTTTGCAATTGTTAATTTGTTAGAAAATGTCTTATTAATTTTCCTTAACTGAAAAGAGGAGAGATGGATGGTAGTTCAAGGGTAAAAGAATTGTATTTCATATCTATAAAATCTCCTGATAATAAAAAGGTATAATAGAGTTAAAAACTATATATTAAAACTCTCAATTTGCTTACAATTTGCATTGACATATGTTCATTAAGATAGGGTAGCAACAATGTTCTCTCACTAATTTTGTGTTAAAAAAGCACTTTTTTATCAGGCACTCAAGGGTCTGACCTAGTGGTTTATGAAGTGTGTGAAACTCTTAGAGATCATGGTTCAATATTCAGCAGAGAGCGTAAGTTTTATTTGATAGAGTTTCCCGTACTTTGTTGGTGGAAGGTAGCAGGTACTTGATGGAATAATCGAGGCGTACACAAGCTGGCCTAAACACAATCTTTATAAATAAAACTTTTTTTGTCAGTAATTTTGTGCAATTAAACTCTCTTTGACGTTAGCCTATAGACATTCTCTCAATCCTATTTCAATATCATGACATTGGCAGGGTAGTTTATAGAGAGGCAATGCCTATTTAGCACTTGCCAATTTTGTTTTAAAAAGCATTTTTTTATCTAGCAACTGATAGTGTGGCCTAGTGATTAATATAAGTGGAGCTCGGGTTTTATTTCCATCTGCCTAAGCTTTGTTAGACAGAGTTATCCGGTGTCTGTACTAGTGGAAGGTAGCATGTAGTTGGTGGAATAATTGAGGTGTACCAAGTTGGCCCAAACACCATCTTTTTTACTCTTTCTGTCTTAATTTTATATGACACTATTTTCTTTTTTAGTTAGTCCCAAAAAGAATGACACCTTTCTATATTTAGTAACATTTTAACTTTAAAATGTCCATTTTACCCTTAATGAGAGGATTTATAGCCACTCAAATATCTATGGTTTATTTTAGACTTGACAAGTTCCAAAGTCTTTTCTTTCCTTCTCAAATTATGTGCCCAGGCAAGCACCATCACATAAATCGAGTTGGAGGGAGTAAAGATTAACTTTTTCATGTTAGCCTGCAGTTCTCTCAATCCTATACCAAAATCATGTCATTGACCATTGATTTAGAAGACAATGCCTATTATGCTATCTAAATTAGCTCACTACAATTCTTTTCGTTCCTTTTTTCATATCTATTTTCTTTTTCTTTTTGCAAAGTTGGTTAACTTGAATATATGTTATTGTTCCCATTTTTTTATGAAGTATGTTTTTGGTCCCATTCTTTTCACTTTAAATGTTTTACCTATGTTTGAATGTTTTACCTATGATTGAGTGTTGTAAGCTATTTTAAAATAAAAAATAAAAAATAGAGAGGCTCTAACATTTAGTTCTGGTACCTTCGTGATTTTCAACAAAAAGTCGGCATGAATTGTTGTCAAATAAACGATTGCACCTATAAAGACATAAACTTTATGGTCCAGTGGAATCTGTTTTGAACCACCCAGTATGTGTTAGAGGTGATGGTACAAACTGGCCCGGACACCACGATTATCAATAACGAAAAGAAAAGCATGTGTTGGAGGTTGGCTTTCCATGGAGCAATCTTTTTTGTGTGGTTGAGATGATTCATTACATGTGCATTTAACTGCAGTATATATACCTCCTCTACTTCCTATAGTTGTTAATAATTTAGTTCTCATGTTATGTGGATCAGCATTGTGTGCACTAAACAGGTTTTGGTGATTTAAGTTATCTTTATCCTCTAGATTTCTTTCATCAAAGGCAGCAAATTTATCTGTTTTAACAACAACATATCTGAATGCGCGCAAGTTTTAACTGTAGAGTTTGAGAAACATTTGAAACCTTGCATGATATCTTTTTCCTTCTTTCCAATTATTGTTTTAATAGTTTAAGCTTTGCTTGTTTAGAAAAAATCTGATTTACTAACCTCTTTCCCTACCCCACCCTATCCCATTTTTAATCTCTGTCAATATTTACCAAATCCCATGGGCTAGATACTTAGATTTGAAGAAAAAGAAAATTAGGAGAAACTCACATTTGGAGCCTTGCAGGTATAATTCTTATAGTTACTATTTCTGTTTTATTTCTAAAGTCTGGTATAGTTTTTTAAGATATAATTTCGACTAATCTTTGAATCTTATATTAGTGTGTAGTATAATTTTTTTTTGTGATTGTATATTTTAGAATATAATAGAACTTTCTTAGTATTTCAGGTGGAAATCTTTTTTTTTTCTTTTATTCTCGTCAAATCTAACATATAAATTCGATAAATGTTCAATGTTGATTAAAAAGGAGTAAATTTTAAAACTCATTTATGTATTTTTCTGCCCTAAAACAGGAAGATGAAATCACTGTATATTGCACAGATATATAATAGTGTAAGCCCACAGCAGAAGGCAGCGAAAACTGGAGAGAGAAAGCAATTGTTGGACGCAAGGCCGATGGACAAGTCTCTTCATTCTTATTTAACATGGCAGAGTGCGCACTGAACTTAGCTTCCTCTCCTCCCGCTCTCTCTGCTAACTTGCACATCTCACCTACCCGATTCTCTCCTCTCCGACGAACTCTTCCGTTGACCTCTCCGTCCGTTGCTGGAAAGCCACTTTTCTGCTCCCACCTGCATCGGAGAAACTCAGTGTTGAGTACAAATTCTTCGAGATCTCAGTTCAGAACAAAATCATCAATGGCTGAGAAAATGACCGGGAAAAGTAAAGCGGAAGTGAAAGTGTACGATTCCGAGGAGGAACTTGCTGTGGCTCTAGCGAAGTACTCTGCGGATTTATCGGAGAAA